CGTCCACTGCTGAACATAGGCCTCTTGCATGCTTTTCCACTTAATCCGATTTTGCGCCATCTGAATCCAATTTATAGTCACTCTTTTTATGTCATCTGTCCATCTCGTTGGGGGTCGACCTCTATTTCTGTAAGCTTGTATTCGGGGTCTCCATTCCAAAATTTTTTTTGTCCACCGGTCATCAACTGATCTTGCTACATGACCTGCCCAGTTCCACTTTAGTGTTGTTATCCTTTCAATAACGTCTGCTACTCCTGATCTTTTGCGTATAGTAGCATTGGTTATTCTATCACGTAGAGAAATCCCTAACATAATTCTCTCCATTGCTCTTTCCACAACTTGTAGTTTACTCACTGTTGTTCTTGTGAGCGTTAGGGTTTCTGCGCCGTAGGTCATCACTGGCAAAATACATTGATTAAATACTTTTCTTTTCAGACACATTGGAATCTTAGACTAAAAAATATCCTTCATCCTTCCAAATGCAGCCCAAGCGAGGTTTATTCTTCTTTTCAGCTCGATTGTTTGGTTTTCTCAACTTATTCTGATCTCTTGGCCCAAATATTTATAGGAGTCAACTGGCTTAATATCTTTGTCTTCTACTGAGATGTTTTTGTTGTGGACTAAATTATTTTAAGACCAACTCTTTTTGTGGCAGTATGGAGTTCTTGGAGCATTATCTGTGCCTGATCAAAGCTGCCTGCAATAAGAACGATATCATCTGCAAATTTAAGGTTATTTAAACATTTTCCATCTACATTGATGCCCTTTTCGTTCCAATCTATTGTCTATTGTTTTTACGGTAAAACAAGCTAAATGTATACAAAACAAAGTTACACAAAGGATATTCGTACACTAGTGGATCTGGAATATAGGATTGATGGTAGATAGCCTAGTGGAATAAATCGAAAAATACAGAAGAAGATCATAACTGAAATGTACTGTACGTACAGTACTAAACAAAAAAATTAGCATTCTTCTTCGTCTTTGTGTGCCATCCTTGTATTCAAGCGTTGGCTATCGTCATATTGACAAGCTGATGAAATGATTCTCGGTCGGCAGCTAGATGAAACAGTTCCTCGACCGTTCGACCTGTCCATTGTCTAATGTTACGCAGCCAGGACAGTTGTTTTCTTCCGACCCAACGTTTTCCTTCGATTTTGCCCTGAATGATTAACCTGAGTAAGCGATATTTAGGTCCTCTCATTATATGACCGAAGTATTGGACCTTTCTCATTTTGATGATGTTGATCAATTCTCGCTCTTTGTGCACGGTCTCTAGCACACGTTCGTTAGATATGTGTGCTGTCACGGGATTCTGAGCATGCGACGGTAACACCACAACTCAAACGCTTCTAATTTGTTAAGATTTTTTATTTTTGTTGTCCAGGTTTTACATCCATAGAACAAAGTGGACCAGACGTAGCACTTCAATACTCTTAGACGTGTGGTCAACGACAGACTTCTACTGCATAATACAGAACGCCAGTTAATAAAGTTTTTCCGTGCGAGTTCTATTCTGGTCGAAATTTCCTCGTCACTTTCAACCCTGCAGTCAATCCAGCTACCCAGATATCTAAAGTATTCCACCCTTTCCAGGATTTTGTTATCTAATCTTAGTACTGAGTCTTCGATATTAATTTTTCCGACCACCATCCATTTTGTTTTTTTTTTGCGTTGATTGTTAAGCCCTTTTCAGTGCATTCGTTGTTTACAGCATTCAACAGGGTTTGAAGATCTTCTAGACTCTCTGGCATTGTTGCGGTGTCATCGGCGTATCTGATTTTATTAATAATTCCACCACCGATCTTAACACCTTCGTGGCGATTATTTAACCCTATTTCAAAAACTAGTTCAGTGTAGGCATTAAACAACATCGATGACATAACACATCCCTGTCTGACACCACGCTTAATAGAAACTTTAGCTGAAACCTTTTGGTCCACCTTAACACAAGCGGTCTGATTGTAGTTAAGATTTTTGAGCAATCTAATGTCATACGTGTCCAGAGAAACTGAGTCTAAGCATTGAAATAATAATGTATGTGGTACTCTATCAAAGGCTTTTTCGAAATCTATAAAACATACGTAAATATTTGTCCTAAACTCAATGCTATTTTGTAAGAGTATTCGCATGCAAAAAAGAGCTTCTCGAGTACCCATACCGTTTCGGAAACCAAACTGCTCATCACCAGTTATCCCCTCACAAAGTTTATATATGCGACAATGCAATATTTTCAATGAAAATAAGCATTATATATATATATATATATATATATATATATATATATATATATATATATGAGATATTTCCCGTTATTTAACACTAATCGCAAACCATATCTAAATTCTCCCCATCATCTTATATACGAATTACCACCGGTTCAATAATTTCTTGCAAATTGTCCACCGCAAATATTTTTTATTCCATTTTCTAGATGTGGTTCACATAATTATGCCACTGCTCTTTAGATACGCATTGCTAAGCTTATTTTATCAACCATTTTACTGTGTTTTCTTTAAAATCGACGTTGTTTGAAGCCACATACCTTTTCACTTGACTCCATACCATCTCAATCAGGTTTAACTCGCAATGGTAAGGTGCCGGTTTCATAATCTTAACGCCATATTGTTTCGCAATTGTTTTAATTTTGTACTTGTCGTACTCGTCTTTAAAGGCGGCCGCACTATCCAGTAATTCACTTTTTAGGTCATCTTTCTCGAAGAAAATATTCTTTTCGATTAGCCAAACCTTGACTTGCTTTTTATTCCACATCTTTTTTGGGGAAATTAAATTTGCGGGAGTGGTATGACTCGTTATTCAAAACGGCAACGTTTTCTTTGTCTATCGGCAAGTTTGAAATTAACGTCTTCTCAAACCATTCTTCATATAGATCCCCATCCATTTCATCGTGGTAATGAGCATTTCCTTTCTTGGCCCAGAAAGTTAATTATCCCATGTCACAAAACCAGTTTCGCTTCCAGCATGAATAAGAACAAACCGAGGACCTCTCTGGGTTGGAGCTGTCAGTCCAGTAGAGAGCCCTTTTATTAGGGCATCTCGTGGATTATTGATCGTTATGTCTATTCATTCCTTTTTGACTAAAGCATCGACGTTAGTCCAAAACTCATCGGTATAAACAAGGTTTACATTAACCTTCTTCCTCAATGTATTTGTTTGTCTAAGGTACTTGTGTCTTTTACGATATTTAAAACGCTTATCATTTAGTAGCCTACGAAATGTGGTTTCTGAAAAAGCTGGTAGGTCCTCATTATCCTTCAGTCTGTTCATTATGCTGTCGACGGTGATCTGTTTTCCAAAAAAAAATCATGGACAATTTTCCTCATTCAAGATTTCACTCCCTCATTGTAAGTATTCTCACGTGAATTGGACTGGAAAATGTTTTTCTTCCTTTTTGAGCCGGTTTCAGTTCGTCTTGCTGGGCCTCGTAGAGTCATAGAGATTTATAGTGGTGACGAAAGATATATCCTGTACAATTTCAAAACACAAAATCCCAACATATATTCAATCTGAACATACTGCATGGAAAAATATTGCGTTTATACAGACGATGTGCACAAATGATTGAGTGTTATTAAAAGCAAATATAGATTTGTTTACAATCGAAAACTGCGTGAAACTTAAATAAAACTTCTAAAATAGGTAATAGTAAATAAATATTTTATTTTGAAAGAAGCATGGTCTACCAAAATAAATACCAAAATAATATGTACCACCCAAACTTTAACTTAGAACCAAAGTGTTAAAATTGGAGGAATATTACTTCCCCACCTTGTGTAACAGTGCCCACGTTGGGCGCCTTTTGCTTGTTAAGCAAAACCTAGACATTGTATTGCGAGAGTCACATAAACTTCAGAGATATGGATTATTTTGCAGTCTCCACAAAACTAAATATATATATATATATATATATATATATATATATATATATATATATATATATATATATAGGACATATGTTAACTAAACGGTCTCAGGGGTAGATTGAGCCGTCAAAATAATAACATTTATTGCATACAGAACCTAATAAATGAGTTTAGTGAAAAATATAAGTGAGGAATTAACTCTACGTTTCATATTTTCTCCAATGTTAGAACCTAATACTTGTCTAAATAAAACGAATAAATTTTTCTTCGAAGGAGGTTTTTGTGAAGTCATAAATTTCTATGATTCCCTTCCTTCACGTTTTTTGACTAAAAAACATTGTTGTTATTGCTTGTTTTCTTTCAATGAGCCATAATCATTTAAAACGATAGTTTTCCTCTCAGCGAAAACCTGCATTTTTTAAGTGTTGCTGGAGCAAATTAAAAAGTTACTGCCATTTTAACACACCACTTGCTAAATTGTTACAAAGTACTTCCCAATGTTTGTACCTACCCTTATCATACATTTAGGATGCAATTAATCAATTTTTATTTTAAAAATCTATCATCCTTATTACAAACTTAATAGTTTTCTTTTATAACAGGTAATTACCTATGGAGAAACCAGGTCAAAAATCAGGCAAGTATGTTTTGTTGATTAAATCGGTTTTAGACGGGAAATAGATAAACAGACATTTTAATTTGAAAATCCTAATGTTAGGTTAGGTTAGGTTATCCTAATGACCGTCTTAATGGTAAGCGTTTTACCTCAAGTATCTCCAAATGCACAATACACAGGAACAAAACCTAGGATGAGCAAGTTGGACAAGGGGTAGGAAAACGGGGAATAGAATAGAACGTGATCAGATATTTGGCAGAAAATAGGGCAGCATGCAGAAAAATATCAAGGAAACGCAATAATAATAATAAGAAATCACTTAACATAATCTTAGTAAGTGATAAATGTATCGTAAATATTGTAATATTAATAATTGTAGCTAAACTAATACAGTTCCTAACGATATTTTGGGTTTATTGACTAAGTAAGTAAATAAAATAAAAATTGATAAACAACTAAGTAAAATAATGAATTTAATATTAATGAATATTATTACTAACCTCATATTTTAAAGCTTGTTTCGACTCATAGTTCTCTTTGGCCAAAGCTACTCTAACCCACTCAGGTTTATCCGATATGGCTATGTGAAGAAGGAATCGTATTCCCAACATCAAATGTTCCAACACGACAAACAGTAATAACCATTGAACATCGCTAAAGGTGGGAATCGACTGTCTAAGGGGCTGGCTAAGATATAAAAGTCCGCAATTGGTAAGTATTGAGAGGGCGCTTAGGATCTCAAACGATCTCTGTAACGATAAAATAAAAAACAGTCAAATAGAATTAATAATAAAGGTTAAATAAGTATAGATGTAAAATTATTACAGCAGAAAGAATATTTTATTGAAATGACTCAGAAATAATAGTATATAAATAATAGTATAGAAAAGGAGATCGAAAAAACAATTATTTATGTAAAAAATCCTAATAAGAAATGAACGTTAGTGCGATTTTTAATCTAATGATCTATTCCTCTACTTTTTTTCTTTATAGAGTTTAGTGATTTGTTGCATGTTTGTTGAGGCATCAAACTCCGGTCCCTCTTTCCCAATGATCGAATGTATATCCAGTTTTCGTCCTATTTCATCATTTCTCTATTGGTCAAGTTTTATGATATATTATCATATTGCATAATCATAATTCCAATATTCTGGTAAGTCTCATTTCGCTAACTTGGTTTCTAATAAGGAGTCGTAATCCTTTCTTGCTTCTAGTTTTCAATCAATAAACCAATAAATATATCCTACTCTACAAAATCAAAGGTTTAGTGCCCTGTAACCACTTGGTGCATTGTTTAAAATTAATATTCGTTACACCGCTAATCCTGAGTTCCCTCTACACTAATATCATGAACCATTTAAAATATTCAATCGCACAAATCTTGTAACGGTTCAAAAAAAATTTATTATAATAATCCGGAGTAAAGATTCAAAATAATGTTGCTTACGCCATCTATCCGCCGAGAGCAGAAACATCTAACCTACCCCACGAATCAAACTGTAGTCCTAATGGTTCCGACTTTGGCCGCCTCAAAATGATAGGGTTCGTAAACTCTTCGCCATTCATCTTTCTTTATCTCTTTGTTCGTCCAACCAACAGAATGAAAATTTGAGTTGTCTCTTGACGAGGTAAGCCAAAAAATTCCTTTTCTCTTGTATATCTTCAAAGAAATATTTATTTTACACCTTTACCGGATGCCCTAATAGTTGCTGGAACTTTTTATTGTCCCGAGGTTATTTAAATACATATGGATTTATGGCATATGTTCTGAAACCAACAATTTAAAGAATATTCCGTTTCTGTGGATATTATGTTCCTGCTGTGAGATATTCAACGATTCTGCCAGCCCAAGTACCTAGAGAGTAAAAAATAGTACATTGTTTACCGGGTAGGAGAAGCTTAACATTCCTGGACGACTGTGAATATTGCTAAGTCGAGGCGCAAGCCGAGACTTAGCAACACAGAGTCCAGGAATGTGGCTTTTCCTACGAGGTAAACATACTATTTTTCCGCAAATCGTTTAAAATTCGACAGATATTGATTGATTTAAAAAAAAAACGCGATAATTTAATTTCCAAATAAATGGTGCTTTGAAATTCCTAATAAAATTACTTGGGTTACTATGGAAACGTATTGAGGTTGAATTGTCAAACTTGACGCTTATAAATTTAATTGCTGGTGTTCTCGAAAGTAAAATCATAAGTGATGATGAAATTTCCATTCCTGGGACTCCTCCAGAGCTGGTTGAGGCAGTGAATACTGCTTCATTAGAATTATTGCCAAAGAAATCAAGAGAAAAGTACGAAAATGCATACAGACGTTTTATGGATTATCGCATGAGTAAAAATACGAGTTCTTTCTCAGAAAATGTTGTAATGGCATACTTCCTAGACCTTTGTTTAAAGATGAAATCTTCAACATTATGGGCCAATTATTCAATGCTGAAGTCAACCCTTGCACTTAAACACAATGTAGATATATCTACATACTCAAAACTTCGTTATTTATTGAAACGGCAAACTCAAGGTTATAGGGCAAAGAAATCTAAGATTTTAACGAAGGAAGAAATTGAAAAATTTATCCAGGAAGCTCCAGATAAAGAAAATTTAATGATTAAGATAATTAACAAGGTTTTCATTTCTAGTTAGATTATAGCTTTATTTATTTTTTAGGTGGCTGTAATATTTGGTATTTCTGGGGCCTGTAGAATGGATGAGTTAGTCCGAATGACTGTACACGATATAGAAGACTTAGAATCTAAGCTTTTAATCAGCATACCTGATTCGAAAACCAACAAACCAAGATCATTTGTAATTAATCAGATCTACTTGAATGTTTATCGAAAGTATGTTTCGTTAAGACCAGAAAATATGAACAGTGACCAATTTTTCTTTAAATATCAAAGCGGAAAGGGTTGTAGACAAGTGGTAGGAATTCATCAATTTAGAAAAATGCCCAAAATAATTGCTACTTATTTGAACTTGGTAAATTCGACAGAATATACTGGTCACTGCTTTCGTCGGTCTTCAGCAACAATATTGGTTGACTCTGGTGCCGACATAACTAGTTTAAAGATGCATGGCGGATGGAAGTCATCAAACGTTGCTGAAGGATATATCGAAGAATCGCTGAACAATAAGGTTGAGGTGGCAAATAAAATTTTCACAGTACAAAATATTCAACAAAATGACACTTCCACCCTGCATGTTGTCCAAAATGTTTCTCATAGTTCTAAGAGTGTTCCTCCAATGTTCAATAATTGTACTAACTGTCAAATTACTGTAAATATAACAAATTGATCTTAAAAATGTATTCAGCAATGACTTGATGTTTTCAAAATATAAATTAATTCCTTATAAGCAATGTGTTTTCTATCATTTATGTAGAACACTAACAACTGTACGGAAATATCATTTCCTTACAGTAAGGAAATGACATTTCCTTACAGTAAGGAAGTCCTGACTTTTTCTTCAAGAAATTTTGACAGGAATGTCAAAATTTCCTGGCGATTTGCGGAAAATATCGTTTCTACACGCCACACAACATGTGGATAATTCAAGTTGTACTCATTTGATATTTTTTTTTATTGAACAGTGAAAATTATTTATAAACTAAATAACAATGAAGTGATTTATGATTGATCTTTTAATTATAATAAAAATTTACTTTTTATCTAATATACAAATGTGAACGAATTTTTTTTATCTAAACGAATTTCTAAAGTTGGGATGAAGTATAATTTTATTTTCATATATTGCTCATTCATAATCTAATGCCAAGATATAAACTGTTTGTTTTCTTACGATGTGAATTTAATTTTAGTTTCGTAGAAGCACTTCTCATTTGTAATTTAATACCGTAAGCACAGACGTCCATCTTAAGAGCACTACAAGATTGCAGGATCGACCACAGATATTGTAATATAATTAAAAATATATATGAAAATGCCACAAAAACCATAAGTCTATATTCTGCAACTAATAAAATAAAGATAAAAAGGGGAGTCAGGCAAGGTGATACCATGTCACCAAAGCTGTTCATTACCGTTCTTGAGTATGCATTTAAAAAAACTAACATGGCAACAGAAAGGAATATCCATCGATGGAGAAAGATTAAACCATCTACGTTTTGGCGGACGATATCGTGCTTCTGTCAGATAATCTGGGAGAGATCAAAGACATGCTCCAAGTACTGAATGACATACTACAAGAAACTGGGCTGGAGATAAATTTCGAGAAAACCAAAATGATGACCATTATGGTTCCCAGCGAAGAGATACAGATCAATAACAACAAGGTAGAATTAATCGATAAATACACATACTTGGGTCATGAAATTAGAATAACCAGAGACAACCAAACCTGCGAGCTAAATAGACGAATCATGTTGGGATGGGCGGCATATGGACGGATGAGAGACATTTTTAAAACAAATATCCCAATTCACCTGAAAAGGAAGGCATTTAACCAATGCATCTTACCAGTCTTGACCTACGGAGCAGAGACCTTAACTTTAACGAAAGCTACTGCCGAAAAACTGAGGGTAACACAAAGGCGAATGGAGAGATCAATACTGGGCCTGACCTTGAAAGATCGCGTAAGAAATTAGGAGATACGAAGACGAACTGGCGTAGACGATATTATACTGCGAATCAATAAACAAAAGTGGAGGTGGGCTGGATATGTTGCTAGAATGGAAGAAGGAAGATAAACGAAGAGATTATTGGAGTGGAGACCAAGAGCCGACAAGCGAAGTCGAGGCAGACCACCCACCCGATGGACCGATGACCTAAGGAGAATAGAAACAAACTGGATTGCAGCAGCTAGAGATAGAGAGAACTGGAGACGTTTGGAGGAAGCCTATATCCAACAATGGATGTGAAAATTCGGCTGGATGATGATGAAGCACAGACGTGTTTATTTCTTTTCTGGGATGACGTAACTTTTTAACCTAGAATCTTTTAATAATCTTTTGTTCGTTTCAAAATAATAAAGGTTAACTTTGTTTTAAATTTTTTATTTTATTTTATTGTCTGAGCTCGTTTCCTTACGAGAATAAACTATGAGAAGTGGCGCCCATTTTATTTTAATTTTAAAGATTATACAAACAGCTTCTATATAATTTTTGAAGGAACTGCACCCAAATTCTTCGACACGAGTAGAAAGGCCTAGATTGTTTCTGTACTTAAGTAAATAGTTTGCTCAAGTTACATTATATGTAAATTAAAATAAAATAGTACTTACTTGCCAGGCACCGATATCCTTAACCCTTCTGCACATCGGCCGCTGAAATACTTTACAGAATTTGAACGCATCCGCTCTTATTTCAATCAGATTGTTAAGATATGCCCACAACGCTGCTAAGGGATATACAGAAGAAAATAGAAATACATAACCAAACTGAGTAAACAGTTCTAAATAATCGTCGTACGTTCCTTCGTATGGCTCCATCTCAGCTTCTTCATCTGCTAGTTTTATTCTTGGATCGTTCGGTGGTAGTTCAGGCATTATTATGTTAGAGAGTTTGTTATCTTCTGTTACTTTGCTAATATTTTTTTCTAATAACAATTTTGGACTTTTTGGATCCAGTTTTTTGGGAAAGAAGTTAAATTTTAGGTTGTGTACCTTAAAAATAAAAATATGGACGTGAGATATGTATATTTAAAATATAAAATAAAACCGTCAAAAGTATACAGTATATGCCAAAAATAAATTTTTATGATAATAAAAATGTGTTAAATGCTCTTCGAACATTGACTACATTAGAAAAATTTGACATAACTACGGTAATTTAGGTTCTGCTGAAGGAAGTAATGATTTTCCTAAGACATTTTTTAATATAGGTATTTATAGTTAATAATCAAATTTATGGTAAAAAATGGTAAAAAGTTGAAAACCTCACAATCGGGCTGGATTAAAAATTCTGTATTTGATAACTGGTTTAAGACATATTTTCTACTGTACGCCAACAAAAACAAAGGTAGAAAGATTTTGATATGCGACAACATGTTAACACATATTTTAATAAAGACATTAACACTTGTAAGGGAACATAATGTTCGTTTAATATTTTTCCATCCACTCTACCCACTGCAATCGCTGGATGTGGGATATGTTGCCAGTCTTACAACATATTGGAGCCAAATTTTAACCCAATGTGGAGAGCGACCAAGGGAGGAAGAAAGACAGTAGCTATGCCAAAATCAGTATTTTGCCAACTTCTCAAAGCAACCCTAGACCTCGGAAAGGACACTGCAGCTCGTAATCTCAAAAAGAGGTTTGAGGCTTCAGGAATTTATCTCACTGACAGAAACAAGACATTGCAAAAACTTCCGTTGTATGCTCGACCAATGGGTGAAATAAATAAAGATATTGTAAAAGAATTTAAATTATACGTAGAAAATATTCGTGAAAATGATTTGCAAAACGTTACGAGGGCAAAAAAATTCTGTCTTCCAATAATTGCTGGCAAAAGTGTTTGAGTCGAAGAGGTAAACCAGTATTATCACAGGAGTTCAACTACTATAGTTTATTTTTATGAACGAGAGAGTAATTAGCATAATTTTAACTGGTAGCTCCGACCACTCCATGGGCGTGCTCAAGATTAATTGAAAAATTACTTTGAATAATTGTAAAAAATAAATGAATTATTTCAGTGTTATAAAGTGTTATGTGTATGTAAACAAAAGTGACCTCTTTTATCACACACTATATTAGAATTGACTGGCCTACATTAAACAGGGTTTTAAAAAATTCACATTTTTTTAATTTTTAAAAATTACAAAAGAGAAAGAGTTTTTAAAACTGTCTAAGGTATGTTAAATAGATGAATAAAAATATTAATATAAAACTTACAGCTACTTGTTACAAAGCCAAATCAGATTCAGAAGATGAACTTTCAGAACCAAGATTTATAATAACTGGCTCGATCATTTTATCAGTAATATTGTCCAGCTTCCACATTTTTTCCTCTTCTTTAATAGTGTGATTTACTGCCTTTTCCCAGTTTTCAGGTTTTACATTATTTACGACCTCCAAAAACAACTGTTTAATATTATGAATTTTAAAAGTGGTATTTTTTCTTGAAACTTCACTCTTTATCTGTGCCCATACCAGTTCAATCGGGTTTAATTCACAATGATGTGGTGGGGATCTAAGTACTGTCATTCCACGATTTTTGGCAATTTCATCAATTTCGTATTTTTTAAATTTTTCTTTATGAAGGGCACACAACGAATAAAGTTCCTTTCTTATAGATCCGGGATGGTACGTAATATTTTTTGAACTCAGCCAATTCTGCAAGTCTTTTTTTAACCACTTGGTTGTGGGCAGTCCTTCTATAAGTCTGGAGTGATAACTTGCATTATCCATTACTATTACACAGTTCTTAGAAAGAAGATCTACCATTTGTTCGAACCATTCTTGAAAGACATCAGCGTTCATGTCTCCATGGTAGTCACTGGTACGAGTTGATTCAAAAGTTAATAAACCACCTTCAACAAAACCGCCTGAACTGCCAATGTGTACTATTATCAGCCTGCGTCCCTTTCCTGATGGTGGGTTTAAACCAGTAGATAAGTTATTTACAAAAGCGTGCCTTTGACTTGTCATAGTTTCATCCTGCCAAAATTTATTTGGTGTATGACCCTCGTTGATCCATGTTTCATCAAGATAAAATATTTTTCTTTTTTGGTTTCTCATTTCCTTTATGGTTCTTAGAAAATGTCTTCTCCATATGACAATATCGCTTCTTTCTAATAAAATAAACTTTCTGGGATTCTTTTTCCAGCGGAAGTCTATTTCTTTTAAAAGTTTCCATAACGTACTTCGACTCATTTCTGGGTAATCCTTATCATCTCGAACTGAGACAAAAACTTTATCCAATGTTGGAAATTCTTGTCTAAAGAAGAATTCATGCACTTTCCGTCGAAGTCCTTCTTTAAAATGATATTCTATTTGAAATTTTGGTTTCCCTGGAGCATTACGTGGAATTTGAAAACTACCGCATTTCTCTTCTTTAATAACTCTGTAAATCGTAGATTTCCCAACACCAAGTGTACTGCTAACTAACTCAACGGTCTCATTAACACTTTCACATAAACGTTTGTCTGTAAATGATTTAAAACAAGTAAATATTAATGTTTTTTCATTAACTGTTAAAGGACCAATTTTTCGGCGTTTACACGGCACTTCCAAATTTTCCATAACACTAGTATACACAATAAACTGCACCTTGCAACTGAAGTACCTACTTTTAGTGAACTGTTAAGAATTTTGAATACGCCACTTGGACCTTCCTACAAAATGGAAAAACCCACTATCACATTTTCTGTGGAATAAATTTAGAAGGTTTGGAAGAATTATCTAGTCAATTACTGTCGTAGATTCCTGGAATCAAAGAATTAAATGTTTGATTGTTGAAACCCTTACTTCGTGGAATGCACTCATTTCAGATAAAATAAAACGTTTTATTTTATCTAAAGACTTAAACTTTATTTTGCAAATAGGTAGGTACTTATTAAACTTTTATTGGTTATATATAACCAATAAAATAAACATCTTACATTTCTTGCAAATTCATTAGTACCTATTAACCTCCATCACTGCGACACTGGCAACCTTATTTAGGGATTAGTAACCCTCACAACTATTGTATTCTATTCTGCTCCAACCTTTATACCTGGTGGTCATACTCAATTTTCTTATATACTTCTGTAAACTTGTTGACAAATATCTGTTTTTCATTGAGTCACCAGTATCAACAGTTTAGGGATTTGCATACATAATTTATTGTTTTATTACTCTCTCATACATAAAAATACACTATAGCAATACTAGAAAATCTACACCAAGAGGTGGACCGAAACCACAAGATGTAATAAAACCACGAGGTGGACTAAAAACACGATGTGGACCAAAACCACGAGGTGGACCAAAAATACGAGGGAGTCATAGATCCCAAGGATCTATTACGACTAACAGAACTGTTGAAGAAGCAGAAGACATACCTGTAGATGAGGACAATGTGCAAAAAAATGAAGACATACAAGTAAATCAAGAACAGAAGCTGGATTTTGGAGATCTGCATCGTGAGCAGAATGTTGGAAGAAACCAATATGACTGAAATTTTAGTCGAGGACTCACTTGGCTACAATTTCGACATTGACAATTGTACTGGCAGAAAGGACAGAACAGGATGAAATCGTCAGTAATTAAGATGAACACATAGTAAATAGAATGAAGGAAAATAAAGTAAAATATTGCAGTGAAGTAAACAAGGAACGCAAGACAGAACAGAGCAAACTGGAAAATCAGCAGAAAAGGACTTCGCACTCCCCTCAATTATTTTTCTTGGGTGAAATTCAAAGCAAGAATGATCTGGCAGAAGTTATTAATTTTAAAAATCAAGAAATATTTTCTGGATTGTGTTATTTTTGTACTTTCAATGTTTCTATGTATTCATTAGGTAAAAAAAGTAAGAAGTGCATAAGAATATTTCATTTGAGCTGCATTGAAAATAACAAACTTCACAAATCAAATTCCAATGTGTTTATTTGTGCCACTTGTTTAAAAAAACTTTAATTCACCTATCGAGTAAAAAATTTAATATTTCTGTTGGTAAACTAACGAAGAATCTTTATTTAGTATTGTTTTGTAGGACTTCAGTTTCCTAATTAATATTTTTAAATTAGTTTTAGAGTACATATTGTTAAATCAATTCATAAACAGTAATATAAAAACAGAATGGTAACCAGGCCTGGGCTAAACAGTTTGTGCTGTGTAACAACTGTGTAGTTTTTGTACATCCGAAGTAACCTAATGTACTCTTGCAAAGTTGTCCTGATAGTAAAATACCAAATATATAGGACTTTTCTTATAAATGTAGATATGATTCAAAGTTATACCCTTAGCGGGTCTAACTTTGAACCATGCCAAAAATATTCTTTCTTGATTATACTTGCTACTTTTACACATTTATAAGCTTATAAGACATTATGGAACTATACAGTCATAATATAATATAAAAGGACAACTAAGGAGGTCAGTGTCAAAATAGATCAAGAAAATATTTAAAAAGTGGATCAACGTTACCCCGAATGTTACTGTACCTATTATTTGTGTTGCGAAAATATTAAATAAAACAAAAAAACATACAACAACCACGTAATATAGTATAATTACAAAGTTGTGCTTATAATTGAATTATAAAATACGTATTTTTCATATCGATATTTTATTATCTGCCAATGATTTTCTCAAATATTTATTTCGGTTTGATTAAAACATCGACATTTTTTGACGGCGCGGTAGTGAAATCGAATATTGCAATTTCCAAGCTTGTTTATTTTCCCTTTATTCCGTTTATAGCTTTTATACCCTCGTAGGGAATTGCATAATGCGTTAACATCCATTTGGGAGGAATTATTTATATGATAATTGAAATCATGATTGAGTTTATTAATAACTAGAAGAGAGCGTTTCATCAAAATACAATAATATATCGTATTAATTTGAAAGTTTCTAGGCGAGTTCATATAATAGGAATTGCAATCCGTATATTCGAAAATTATTATATTAAAAATTAAATAGAAATAGTGATTACTCTGGTGTTATGTAATAGGCAA